GGGGGGGGGGGGGGGGGGGACTAGGATTAAATGGGGCTTAAATGGAAACTCTGATATTTAATTATAGATGTTGAGAAACATTTCAGTGAGAAAAAAAGGCTCAAGTCTTTGATAAATAAAATAGCTGTTTTTAAAGAAAATAACGAACAAAAATGGTTTTATGGCTTTATATTGGATAGAAAAAATTTATGAGAAATGTTTAACCGAAACAGTTGGCTGAATGATGGAAAAAATGCCAAAGTTTTTACCATTATGGATGGTTGAAAATTGTCTAGAATCTCAGCATTGAAGCCCTCGGCTACTAGATCAATCGCTTGTGACTTGGTACACGTGTAGTAAGAAGTTGCAAAGCAACTTTGATTCCCCTCGAAAACAGGGTCCTTGGGTAGAGGTGTGACGCCCACAGGAGGTTTCTCGACTCTCCAGTGATCCCCCCCTTGACTGATGATGTGCCAGGATTTATCCAATCCCGTTTGACCCGAGTGATTTTTCACAAGATTCCTCTCGAAAAGTTTTCCCCTGCATATGTGATAATAGACACTCCATCGAAGGTCTTTGATGGATTGCAGGGACTGGCCGAACACAAGTTCAGCTTTTTTCCTCCAGACGTACTCTTGGATGATGTTCTTCCAGCGTTGACACACCAGTTGGAAGCTCAGGAGGGTCACGGGGTCGATGTAGCAGAATATTTCACCTAAGAGTTCTTCGGGAATGTAGGTCGAGGAGAGGACAAGACCGTTGTCCCCTTCTGGATCGAACTCCACTCGTTGGGAGGCTTCTCGTTGTCGATCTTGGCGTTGGCCCATTCTTCAATGCCAAATGATTATTACGAAATAACTTGACCGATTGGCGAGGGCTTAGAGAATACTTTATTCTTAATTCGGGGATTCTTATCTTATCATATACTTAAATAAAATTTCAGAAGGTTTAGTCTTGAATGAAAGGTATTTTAGGCTTGAATCAAGAGAAATTATACGCATTTATGCACTCTCAATATTCCGACATTGAAACGGGAATAATTACGTGCATTTTAGCATTCTTGAGTGGACAATTAATGTATGTTTGATTATCTAGTCGTAAATTCTGTATTCAAGAATAGCCTTCTTGTCCAGAAACTCCCAAAGTTTATAAAATTATGCTGTTATTATGGAATACGTGGCACAATAGATAAATATTCTCTCCACATTGCCTTCGAAATCACGAATGCACGAGATAAAAAAAAATTTTTTTTCTCCACGAACGATTGAAGCCATTGTTAAATTTGTAGATGGGGTGGAATGTTGAAGTTTCTACTCAATTTTGAGTCAAAACCCCTGATATTATCCCAATATTGTTAAATGCGTGGCAGAATGCTTAAAGATTCTCCTATTTCCTATGAGCAGTCTTATTCTCAAATCCAGCAAAACATCTCAGCCTTCCTCATTATATGAATTTAAAATTAAATAAAACGATGATCAAATATCACGAATTTCCAACGAACAAAAGACATTGAATGTCCAATTAAAATAAATATCATCAAACGGTCAATAAATATTGATCCCGTAATGGAAAACTTATTTACGAAAATAATTCTCTCACAATTTATTCTGAAATAGCCACCGTACGAGATAAAAACCAATAAAGAATTAAAAACTCGATAAACTCTACATAATCACGTGGGCCGATTTTTACTATCGCTATTTGGCATTGACAAACCGTACTTCCTGCTCCATCAAAAACTCCACGAGTTTGAGAAAAAATGATCCGTAAAGTGTTACAGGTTTCATGCCAAGGTCACAGCCATACGAAGACTACCACAATTCCATAACTTTCTAATAATTACCTCGTCCAATATTCGCTCCAACAAACTTCCCGAAACTTGACAGAACAATTCAATCAGACTGTCATTGAACAGACCTCAGCGGCTGTTGATCAACTAATTAACGCGAAGTAAAACCTACTCCAATCCGTCACAACAGAATGACGCATAGTTGTAAATATAACCTCTACCACGTACCTGTTTGATTAACGATTAATTTCTCCACAAAGATGAACCGATGCCACTGGACCACAGTTCTTCGGGGATTGCGGATCAATATTCCTCCGGTCAACAAACAATTCACTAAATGACTCACCAACTATGATGTATTATTCGTAATACTATCATCTGACGTTGCATCACGCAAACGTCTGCCTCCCCCCACTCATTATTTTGTTAGGAGAGAACTCCGAAGGGAGAGTAGACACGTGTATGCTGTCATTGCCCATCTTTGGAAATATTCTCGGGAACGATCTTCTTTTCATTAGATAATAATTTTTTATGGGGAATGATTTTTCGTTCGGAATTTGGAAAAAGGACTTTGCTACATCATCAATAATCCATGAGCCAGCTGCGTTTGCATTTTGAATTTTTTTTTTATTATTCAGATTCTGAATTATTATTTTCAATTCATTCATGGATTTTCTTTAAGAATGATATTTTTATTTGTTCAAAACGATGAGGAATACTATTATGAATATTAAAAATGAATATTGAAAATGAGGACTTGAAAATTAAAAAAAAAAGTTGAATTTCACTCCTCCGATCTTGACTTATTAATTGTTGAAATGGAATTATTTTACCCTCTTCTCTCCTAAATTTTTTTTTCTTCATTATTAGATGATCTGTTTGCATTCTAAATGATTATTTTCCATCATTTTTAAAAAAATTTTAACCTTTTTTTTCTAATTCATTCTTCATTGTTTGTTTTAATGATTAATGAATGCTTTTACCTTGAAGATTCTATTTTTATTCGTTTAAAAGGAAGAGAATACGAATGTGAAAGAGAAATATTGAATAAAATTGTAAAAACATAATTTGATCGACTTAAAAACAGAGTTGAATTTACCTTTCCCCATCTTGACTCATTGCTGATTGAAATGGGATCAGTTTACCCTCTTCTCTCCTAGAATTTATTTTCTCCATTCATTAAATTTAATTTCTGCAGTTGATAATTTTCAATGCATTTTTCCTTTCCAATTAATCCTTCATTTTTTGTTTCACGGATTCTTTCATGCATTTGCTTCAACGAGTCTATTTTTTTGTAAGAGGAAAAGGAATGTCAATGCGAATTGAAAAAAGATATTGAATAAAATTATAAAGACATAATTTTATTAACCTCGGTACTTTATATTTGCGTTGAAACATACATAAACCAGTACTTTCGGCGATTACAGGAAGTAGGTACGTGGTTTGCGTACACTGAATAGTGGCATTCTGTTCTTGTGCTGAATCCTCTTGGCCAGTGGGAATCTGATGTGGCTGTCGTGGAACTGCTTGACCTGGGGTCTGCGGCAGTTGGCAGCCTTCACAATCTCCACTTTGATGATTTGGATGGAGTGGGCGCGTGCACGATGACGGGCTCCCATGTCACGGTAGCACTGGGTTACAGCACCGCTCACTGACAGATCACGGTACTCCCTGTACATGTTGTGAGTGCCTGAACGAGAGTCGTACCTCAACCAGATACCGAAGTTCTTGATCTTGGCTGGGGTCTTCTCGGAAATCTAGAAAAAAGAAATTTTCATATTAATTACTAATAATAATTCCCTAATTTCAATAGACAATTTTTTGATTTAAAAATTATCAATTCAATTCAATGGAACTTTTATTCAATCCGAATTGGTAAATTATGAATAGTAATTTGTGTTAACGATTCAAATAGACAATTTTTTTATTATAAAATGATCGATTCTAAAAAAATGCTTCAATTCCATTGGGAGTATTTTAGAGAACTTGATCAATTATATTTAATCATTTCAGTTCTCAAAACTTGAATAAAAGTTTAACAACTACCAATTATTAATAAATAAATAACAAACTTAAAATGAGTGGTTTTATTCATTTAACTTTAGTTAAATTAATAAAACCACCATCAATCAAGTTTGAATCTCTTTGGCAAATCTCTTGGAATACTAATTAAATGACAATCAATACTAATCCCAAGACTTTTTAATTCAGTTTTTAATATTTGAAAATGTGTTGTCTTATGGTAAATGAATCTCTTCGCTCGACTCACCTGTTTAAGAGAAACAATTTCTCCCGTCGATTTTTTGAACTTCTTCAGTTGTCTCAAGAAATACCAGAAGCGGGATTTAGCAACGATAGCATCAGGAGCGAAAATCCTCATTTTGTAAAGAGGAGTCGTCTTCTCCTTTTCGGTGGGGAGCTTCCTCCCAATCACCTCGTATTCCTTCAACTGAAACAGAGACAGACAGGCGTTCTGTTAGGTTATGTTTTCGTGGGGACCTCCAGGCTTCATCTGGAGACGGACTTCTCCAGGTTTCAAGCAAGATTCATGCATTAGAAAACTTCTGCGACCAATTTTCCAACAATAACAACTACTTTTATGGAATTTTCTACAAAATTTAGGGATTGATCAATGGCCGTGCCATGCTGTCTCGATAACCTCAGATCATCAACATGAATTCCCAAATTTTTACAGGAAAATTCATCGTAATTTCCCCAGAAACATCGCTGGGAAGAATTTACACAAATTTTGGAACATTCTTTGGAAATGTTTAATCAAAATTAATGGCTAAATTACTTACTTCTCCCTTTGCTTTCATCGTGTCGTGAGTTCTACGCGAACGGAGAACCGGAAAGAGGGCACGGAGTCTCAGAAACGCCGGAAGCCCACACGACGGCCATTTTTAGAATCCATTCGAAATTCCCGCCTGACGATTCTTGTCGAGTCAATAATAAAAGCACTTCTGTTTCGTTTTGAAATTGATATTTATTGTCAATAATTAGAAACTGCAATAATTAGAAATATCCATTCATAACACTCAAATTTTAATAATCACTTGAAATGAATCAATTGATTTATTTAATTGATTGTATTTCGAAAAAAAATCTGATCGTGAATAAGAACAAATGAATTTAGCAATGCCCATTGAATTATGTTATAGAAAATTTTACATTTAAATTGAAATCAATTTTACACAATTTTTTTTGTTTGGAATTCTTTCGAATTTATTCAATTGCAAAGAAGAATGTGGTAAAATGAATTATTATTACATAAAAATACTTTTTGTTTCATTTTGACATTGATATTTATTGTCAAGTAATTGAAACCCCCAACAGTTATGAGCATTCATCAACTCCTAACGCTCAATTTCTTATAATAACTAGAAATAAATCAAGTCAAGTCAAATATGCAATTAACACTTTGTCACTGCTAAACCCGTAAATTCATTTTTAACAACGAATAAACACAATGTACCGAAGGACAAATGGATTTTGTTATCTCCACTGGATCATATTACGATAAATCCCACAATCAAATTGAAATCAATGTCACATAATGTACACACAATATTTTTTGAACAATTGTAACGCACGATGTCGTGAAACGAATTATCAATATTTAACAATTCCCTCTCACCTCGAGAGAAAAATATTCTTCAATCAAGATTTTGGAAAGTCTCACTTCATAGACATGCAGATTCGTGAAAAAATTGAACATTTTCGATTCGAGAATATTCTTCCCTTGGTTTAGTTAAAAAAGTATTGATTAAAAATTCCATACTGCCCCACCCTCCCAGCCTTTTCGAAATAAAACTGACCACAATCACAGAAGCAATCGAATTGAAAAACAGTCAATAAAATCCCCTGAATTCATTCTCACGTCCCACAACAAAAATTGACACTGGCCCTCGTATGAGTACGAATGAATTGTATCTTAATAAACCCCACAATTAAATTAACACAATTTCACATAATGTACACATATATTTCGTTTGGAATCCCCCGGGTTTATGCAATCGTAAAGAACAACGTCGTCAAATGAATTATCAATATTTAACAATCCCATCAACTCGAGAGGAATATATTCTTAAATCGAGAATTCTGAGCTGCTCACTTCATTCACATAAAAATTTCTGACACAATGAAGCATCCTCGATTCCAGAATATTCATTCCTTCGTGTTTCCAGTCAACAATATCAAATATTTGAAAATCCATTTTTCCCACTCTCGTTTTTAGAAATGAAGCTGACCCCAGACAAACCCAAACATATAAAAAAAGACTAAAACCCTCGACTTAATTTTCACGTTCTCCAACTGGATTACATTCTAATAAACCCAACAATTGAATTGAAGTCAATTTCACATAATGTACACATCGTAAAGAACAACGACGTCAAATGAATTATCAATATTCCCCAATTCACCCTCAACACGAGAGGAAAATATTCTAAAACCGAGATTTCCGAACATTTCACCCGATCCGCAAAAAAATTCCTGACCCCATTAAACCCTCGATTCCAGAATATTCATTCCTTTCTATATCCAGTTAAAAACTCCGAAATATTTGAAAATCGATTGTGCCCCTCCTCTTCAGAAATGAAGCTGACCCCAGACAAGCTCAGTCAAATAAAAAAAGGGTAAATCCCTCGAATTCATTTTCACGTTCCCCAACCCTGTCAGAAAATTGGCACTGGTCCTGGTATAATCTACAAATAATTAGATGAACCCTCAGTTTCCCCTGTCGGCCGCTCCGCTTCGTTCACTGCCCCCCTCATTCCCCCGCCAGCCGACCCTGCTGCCCCCAGTGCCCTCATGCCCCTGTGAGGGCCTGGTGAGTCTCGTCGCGAGTTGCTGAAGGGCGTTAGCAAAATTAGGAAAAGCCGAGGACTCACTCCTCCTCTCAACCCTCCTCTGCGCAGCCCTCCTCTCCTCACCGCTAGGTATCACAGAATTAGAGTTTCCGTCGTGCTCTTCACCCCTGGAGCCCCCCCGCGAGCCATTCTGAATGGCAATGAGATTTCTCAGGCTTGGACAACCCGACGAACTGCCCCTCCCCCTGGCCACAAGAATCCTCTCCATCCTCTCAGTGCTCCTGTCCAAGCTCGTCATGACATTCATCTGCCTCTCGATGTTATCGATCCTGTGCTGCTGCATCCTCACCCTGAATGATACCAGACGATCCAGAACAGCCTCCCTAAACCTGCTCTGTTGAGCTAGAGTGTCGACGTCAGGAACAGAGCGGTTGGACAAGGCAACAGGTCTAGGAGGCTCAGCAGTCCTCTGATTATTTCGACTCAATAGGCACGCACGAATGGCCATGGCCATCCTGACGCGGTCATAACGAGCTCGAAGCTCTGACATTCGAGCATTCCTCGCCATCTCTGCGTTCCTCTCCCTGAATGACAATGAGGCAGGGTTCTCCGATCTCTCGGGGGCTGGCCTGGATGGCGCACGAGCTGGACTCTCTGGTAGAAACGCCGGTGACACAGACACATCTGCATTTATCGGTAAGCCAGGACGACCTGAGGGCAGTGTAATTATATTTTTTCAATTATAACATTGCTTGGAATTTCAGTGAAACTATAATGCGATGAAATTTCTAAAAATTGTACCGATAGTTTCAGCGAAAATTTTTAACTGTTCGTTTGTTCACTGTTAGAAGGAAATTGAAATCTCGTTGACAGTTGATGAGTAATTTTCAGGTCACATCAAATTCGATTTAGAGGGAAACAAATCATGAAGAGTAATTCTATTAATTTTCATTGGAAAATTTAACTGAATTTTACAGTTCCCATCAATTTTCCCATAAAATTTTCAATTATCAATTACAAAATTCCTGTGAATTTCAGTAAACAATTTTCAACAATAATTAAAAAAGCTTTCAAATGAAATCGAATCAAACCTGAGGCAGTTCTATTCTGACTGGGAGTGGCCCCAGAGTTTCCTCCATCGTGACCAGAATTGAGCATAGAATGCAGCCTATCAGGGCCCCTGTCACTCCCCCTACTGGTGATCACAACAGAAGAAGATGTGGAGGCTCCATCCCTGGAGCTAGAGTCTGCCCAAGCCCCAACAGCAGGAGCTCTACTATTCAAATTCACAGGGTTCAGTCCCACCGCATGAGGTGCCTGTGCACCCGGTGGATTCGAGGGGTTCTGAATGGCATTCCCACGACCAGGGTTCTGACTCTGCCTGACAGGAGGTGGTGCAGACCCAGAGGCAGTTCTGTACCGATTGCCTGACCGAGTCCTCAGATGAATGCCCTCCCTTCTGGGCCCATGCGAATGACTCCTCTGACTGTCCCTAGGAATCAGATGGCTGTACTTCTCCAACTCAGCTGGTGTCAGCTCCCTGGGGTCAGAATCAACCCTGTGAACTGGGATCTGCCCGAAGGGGCGAGCCCTGGGGGCCAGAGGACTCTGCTGTTGATTCATCATCTGCTGCATCTGCTCTTGAAACGAGACTTTCTTGAACAAATCAGCAAAAGGCCTGGACTCCAGCTTCTTCCTGTCATTGATCTCCGTCTTCTTATCGCAGGGGTCCTCCTTGGGATCAGAAATATCAGGCACCACCTGTTCCTCCTCCCCAATAGGCCCATGCACCTTAAAAGTCTCTATGATGAGCCCCAGGGACTCCAGAACCTGAACAGCAGTCAGTCTCCTGTGTGGCTGGAGGACCAACAGGTCTCTTATCAGATTAGTCGTCCCCTCAGACACCCTCCCATCATTAGGAATATGATAATTAGCTGCCCTGATTTTATTGAACAATTGAGTTGGACTGCTGTCGTAAAAAGGAAACTGTCCATATAGCATCGTGAAGAGAACGACCCCAAGGGCCCACATGTCCGAAGGCTTCCCCAGGTATGGTTTCCCACAGAGTACATCTGGAGATATGTACGCTGGACTCCCCCGTTGGTCCTTCAGCAGGTCCTTCTCACTAGCCAAGTGCTTCCCCAGGCAGAAATTCGTTATCGTAACTTTCCTCGTTTTTCTATTCAACACTATGTTCCCTAGCTTCAAGTCTCTGTGGACCACATTCCTCTTGTGCAGTTCTGCAACAATTCTCACGGTGTCAGCGAATATCAGGAGACTCTCCTTCTCAGAGAGCTTCTTCTCCCTTATGACGTGGTGCTGGAGATTCAGCAGCTCGTCGTTCCTGGGGTTGAAGTCGTGAGACGTGAGACAGTCCAGAACTAAACAGAGTCTTCTTTTGATTCGTCCAGTGTAGATGCGACCACCAGACGTCAATTTTTCCCCCAATGCCGAGTCCTTGAAGAACCCATGGTGGTGGACCACTCCGTCCTGATTCTGGAGAAGACTCAGTAACGAATATTCAGCGTGCAGCAGCATCTTCCCTTGACGATCATCCTGGGTTTCGTACTCGTTTTCGTCCTTCAGGGTGAGGATTTTTATCGTGAAGTACTTGTCAGTGCCCTCTTTCCTGGCTAGACACTGGACAATGCTCTTGACTGGGGATGTCCCTATGAGGGGTCCCAGAATGTAGGGCCCAGCTCGTTTGATGGTCTTGGAGGAGATTGGTGTGCCATAGGGAGGCACCTGGATCCCCAGGTCTGTTTCGTCTTTGGGTGTGGGTAGCTGAGGATTCAGTCTGCTTGGGCCTGGGCTGGGCTCCAGTTCAGGCACTTCTTGGACTTCGCTTGGGCTGTATAATGGCGCGTCTCTGGGTTCTGGTGAGCAATAGCCAGCTTCCCTGGGGATGTACACGTGCTCTTCTGGTTCGTAGGCACTGTCACTCAACTCGTAGATGTTTCGAGGCTCGTAGATGCTCTCTCGAGGGGCTTGAGGGTCCAATGGGCCTTCTGAGAGTGAGTTGAAGGCGAGGGAGTTTGTGGACGATCGGGACATGGCGTGAGTCACGTCTTCGGAGGCATTCGTTGAGGATGGAATCAGTGAACTAGACAGGGCGGGGAGGGGTGTGGGCTCGTAGGTGACGTCGACTGCCATGATGAAGGCGTCTGAGTTGATCGGCTGGGACACCGGGAGCTGGTCTGCTTCTGATTGCATTGAGGGCTCTTCACTGGTGTCCATCGGCTCGTAAGTGGGCTCGTACGTGGGCTCTGATGGGGCCTCGGGGTTTCGTGTCCTTTCCATGTCATTTTCGATTATTGTTGGCATCTCTAGAAGGGGAATACGAATTGAAATGCTGTTTGCCATGTTGATAAAAAGTAGGTTCAAGAGTTTGGAATCAACAGAAGGACAATATTGCAGACAAAAATATAGGGACAGTTTCTTGAACAATTTTTATGTGAATTCACTCTTGGGAAATCCATGTCTACGCCATTTTTGGTTACTGTTGGCATTTCCGGAAGGGGAAGGATGAATTGAAATACTATCTATCGCGTTAAAAAATGTTTGGTTCATGGATTTGTGCTCACAAAGTAGGTAAATATCATCGAGAAACTTCTACGCTTTTTGGAGCAGTCATTATGAAATATTAAACCTGTTCTCCCATTTTTTTTTCACTGGAAAAGTGTAAATAAGAAAAATATCGTCATATGATCTGACTTTTACATCCTTGGAGTAAACAGGAGGAGAATATTGTTGATAAACATATATTGACAGTTTCCGGAACAATTCTGCTGCGAATTCACTCTTGGAAAATCCATTTTCACGTCATTTTTGGTCACTGTTGGCATTTATGGAGGGGGAAGCATGAATTGAAATACTGTTTGTCGTGTTAAAAAATGTTTGTTCATGGATTTATGTTCAGAAAGTATGTAAATAACATCGAGAAACTTCTACTCTTTTTAGAGCAGACATTGCGCAATATTGAACCTGTTCTCCTAATTTTTGTTTCACTGTAAAAGTGTATAAATAAGGAAAATATTGTCATATGATCTGAGTTTTATATCCTCGGAGTAAACTGGAGGGCAATATTGTTGACAAAAATATATTGACAGTTTCCGGAGCAGTTCTCCTCCAAATTCACTCTTGGAAAATGGATCTAAACACTGCGTGAACGTGAAAAAATGAACCCTAAGGTCACAATTACCTTGTAAAAACTGTACGAGTTGGAGTCCAATAACTTTCCAATTACGGAGTCATCAAAACAATCGAAACTTTGGAGTAAGATTAGATACAGGTGGATCTGGGCTATGACTGCGAGAGGTCGGGTGAGGCTAGGTGTTCCACGTTTTACCATCTGTGGGACATGAGGATTCGCCATAGCTACCCAACGATTTTCTAATTGTGGAAACAGACCCCAAGCCAGAGGTTTTCCGCTTTATTCAGCGCATTCCATTGTTTTTTCTCCATAAAATCGTGAAGACAAATGATTTGTTTGTTCAGTGATCAGTGTCAGTCTCCAGTGATGTGAGGAAACCAGTAGAAAACTGTCGTTTCGAGTGGTAAAAACGCTGGACGAGTGATTTAGTGAGTGATCAGTGGAAAGGACAAAGCTAACCCATAAACAGAATAACATAATGGCTGCAGCAGCGGCTGCCGCACTCCTTGATGAGTTGATGGGAAGGAATCGCAATGTTCTTCCTAATGAGAAGCCTAAAGAGCTCAATTGGGAGGATCCTGAGGTAATAATAACCCTTACAAACCATTCTTCATGACTATTCCTTTAATTTCACACTCAATTGTTTTTATCCTTGAAAAAGTTGAAGATCCTTGAGTTTTTTCGACTGTTTGAACCCTCCCAAACACTTGAGGCTCCGATAACCCCTTTTTTTTATTATAAATGACTAGAGCTCTGCAGAGTGAAATTCAAAAATTTTGTTTTTAGCATTTTTAAGATTTTCTTTAAATCGTGACATTTACTCAGGAGCTATCGATGATATTTACATTTTTTTCCGCCTCACCTCTCTCTGTTTATGAGTCATTCTTTTTCAAGGACTCTGTCCACTGAAATTCAGGGCCCTTGTGGTTTTTTCGACTCTTCGAACTTTATGTTCAATTTATTTGACCCTCAAAAACACTTTTGAAGGTCAAATAAACCGATTTTAATCATCAGTAAATACAGATCTGCAGAGTGAACTCGAACAATTTTTGTTTATGTTGAAGATATTTCTCCAGATTTTGGAATGAGACTTGATATATTTAAATAGCAGCATTTAAAGCTCATTTTGTCTCATCTTCCCCTATATACGACTCATTCACGTGTTTTCTTCCAGTTTTGCAAGCTCTATCTGGTGAAATTCTGTCCCCACGATTTATTCGTAAACACCAGAGCAGATCTAGGAGCCTGTGTCCACGTCCACGATGACGAAGCTAGGGATTTATTCGAGAAAGCCCCATACTCCTACAGAAAACAACAGTACGAGGATGAGTTCATTCGGTTCTGCCAGAGCATGTTGAGTGAAGTCGAGAGGAAGATCGTCAAGGGAAAGCAGCGACTCGCACTAATCGGCAAGACTGAGGCAGTGAGTCATTAATTATTTGTTTAGTCTATTGGTAACGACTTGCCTGGGGTAATCAATAATCGTGGATTTTTGACATTTTCGCAGCCCACTCTGACACCAGCACAGACACAGAGGAATGAGGAGCAGATAGCTCTTTTGACTGAAAAAATCAATAAATTGGTGGAGGAGGCTGAACAAAGTGGCATCCAGGGAAACGTTGAACAAGCACAGGGACTCATGAGGCTTTGTGATCAGCTGAAGGAGGAACGAGAGACTTTGAGGAAATCTAATGATAATAGTCATTATAATCAGGTAGAGGGGAGAGAGATTTATCTATTTGATTAATCATATAATAGTAATTTTTGTTGTAGATATCCAAGTCCTCTCTATTAAAATTTGATTGAATTCCTTTACTCGAGAGAAACAAATTTAACATTACCTTTTTACAATTAAATGGTAGGAATAGCTTGTAAATATTATTTTTGTTACAATTCTGTAGAAATGATTTGTAGAGGAAGTTTATTCATTTTAATTCATTAGTTGGGCACAAATTCTTGAATTAATGAAAAGTTGTTTTTCAATTTTTATTAAAAAATTCTCAATGCAACCATTGAAAATATCTAGAATGAAGTATAAATCGTCTCCCCGAATTTCTACTCATCATTTTTTTTCTAATAATGCAGACGGCGGAATTGGCAGCTGCACAGGAGAAACAGATGGAAGTGTGTGACGTTTGTGGAGCATTCCTAATTGTTGGTGATGCCCAACAACGCATAGACGATCATTTAATGGGGAAACAACACGTTGGATACGCTAGACTCAAAAGCGCACTGCAGGAGATAATGGTATTCACAATTGAATTCGCAATTTCTCTTCATATTTGCTAATGAACTGTCTTTAAATGGTTAATTTTCTTTCAGACGAAAAGAGAAAGGGCTCGAGATGAAAAAGAACAAAAGAGAGATGAAGACAGGAAACAGAGGGCTCGAGCGAATGAAGAAATTGAGAGGAAGAGACGAGAGAGCGAGAGGGAGCGGGAGAGGGATCGCGATCGCGACAGGGACAAGCGTCGTCGACGTGACGACGACAAAGTTCGTCATGATTTCCACAGGTATATGACAGCAAGATTTGCTGTACAATGACTATTGATCGGTACATTAGCAGTAATTATATTTGCAGGAATGCGGGACACAGAAGTCGAAGTAGATCGCGTGACCGTCACGAGCGTCACAGAGAGGAGGAAAACTACAGACGTCATAATAGAGATAAGGGTGAGTTAATTTATTCTAGAAATGAATGGGGTTTGCATGAAATTTTCCCAGCTGGATATGAAAAATTAATGAAAAGTTCGCAATTGTTCTCATCTCCATGAGGTTACTTAATTTAAGGAAGGTGAGGGACTATTAGAGATATAACTCCGACGTTGATTAAATTATTATCGTGCCCTATTACAATTTAATTGAATGGAAATTGTATATATCACATTGAGAAAATCACTTGAGTTCGATTTAGAAATTCCAAATTTTTGAACAGCAGGAACACGAGAATTCCTCAACTCACGTGTATTTTCAATCAACCCATGAGTATTCAGTACCAAATTACGCTGAATTTTCAATTACTAAAATGAGAACAAAAAACCTCATGTTTGTTAATTTCTGATACGAATGAGAAATTCAGTGAATATTCGATCTTGAAGTGAGCTCAAATTCTTCACAGCATGAAAAATTTAAACGCAGTTGTTATTCAAATTGCAAAAAATGTCAAACATTCAATTTTCGTCCTTTGTAATTCTATTCGGTAAAAAAAATGCACTAAAAAATGTTAAATGATTAATCATTTCCAGGAAATCGTGACCACCGAAATTCCAATAATCACGGTCGTCGTCGACACCGGTCAAGAAGTCGAAGTCACAAGTAACAACTCTTGATTGGTTAGTGAGTGAGGAGTGATCCAGGTATGCACTAGAAAAACATTTGATATTAACGTGTCAATTACTGTACAGGTATTCCACCAGGTGAGTTTAACTAGTAATGCACATAAATGTCAATTATTTACATATCTGATACCTAAGATATCAATAATCAAAAGAAACCTGATCAAACACCCGATGTAAATTGCATCGAACGTGAATCAAACGTTTCTAATCTTCGTTTTTGCGACACGAGTTGAAGAAAATTATGCAAAAAAAATTTCGAAACGCTATCATGGTACGCACAACAGAGTCAACAGAATTGCAAAAATGATGAAAGAATGACAAAATTATGATAAATGTAATGGATAGTTTTTATAACAGAGCAAGGTGGGAGAAGGTATACCTGCACTTGCTTTGATTAGGAATATAAATTGAAAAAAAAAACAAAGCCAAAGCTCAAACCAGCGAAAATTATTGGGTGTAAATCACGTCTGAACCTCCATAGATTCTGTTTGTTTATATTATTTTGTTTCTCCTTAAAACGTGAAAGAATAAAAGTTAGTGGTTTAGTGATGGAATCAGTGACTACTACCTGTAGCACCTGCAACGACAGTGTCCTGTGTGACTGTGACTATACAATCCTAGCTTCTGCCTACAGATTAATGAGGTATTTATGTCGGAATGATGATACCAAAACCATGTTTTATGAAAGTGAAGGGAAATTTTGTTAATCGTCGAATAATTGAATTTTTTCTTTGCCATTTATGAATTGAAAAGAGGCTCACTTTGTCAAATAACATTGACGAAATGAATTTCATGCGCTACACATTAATGATGATTGTAATTGGTGACGGTTTAACCGATGATTTTTTTTCTCTCACAGATTAATTGAGCCTCAAATAATGTGCGATCAATTTTCCTTATGTTAATTTAAGGCATCAGTGTGCTGTATTTTTTAATACAATGAATATACTTAATAATTACGAAGTACATTGTACGAATCGAGCATTTTAAATCATTGAACTAAAACTTTATCGTCTATTTTCAGAGTGATTGACGAGGGGAGGATCTGACGATGAAAAACGCTGGTAGACCTCCCATGAATCCAGCTTAATGTACCTTTGAGGTAAAGATTTTGCATAATCTTGAACAGAAAATGTTTGAAGTAATTAAACACTCGTGATTAATTTCCACTAAATTTTGCAATCAACGGTCTAATTTGTCGGATCTGTAAACACGCTTTTGCGCCACAAATTCAATAGTTCCAGTTTTCCAGTCTTTTGAAAATTCACTGTTAGTTTGTTTCGTCATTGCATACGGGTTTAGCAACTGTTCTCCATCGAAAATAATGAAAAATTATACAATTGTTAAATTTAGACTGTCTATTGCGCCACAAAAAATTCTTCACACACAATTTTATGTGAATTGGTTGGAATTGTAATTACGCCGTACGAGAATTGTTATTTCTAATTGAATAAATTCCAAATTGAGTTAATGAAACTTTTATTACTTATCAAATAACAATCTTAATTATAATAATACGAGAAATAAAAAACACTGAAGTAATCGTGTCGTGTACAGCCTTTTTAGTCTAATGAGACATTCCATTCCAATTTACCCATTTTGAAATTTTTAGCAGTGAAAAAGGGCTGAATTGACATGAAATGCCGCTAATACTGGTCACAATCGAAAAATAATGACAATTATATCAATCATTTGAGGCCAATGGTCCTTGTAACTTGCTCGTACACAGTCCACGCCATTGTGGTCATCAGTGTCCTCCTGAGCATCCTGGGGACGATCCCCTTGAAATACCCCATTACTCCATACTTCGTGTACACAGACAAAAATCCACTGTATGCATTCCTGAACTCCTGAGGATACAACTGCATTTTCGTCTTTACAACGTCTGCTGGGTGCGTGACAATGGACGCAAAAATTCCAGCCAAGATTCCACAGCCGAAGTTCACAGTCATTAATTTTTTATTATCTAAGGCTGCAAAAAAACATTCAAGTTAATCTTCGATTTTTACAAAAAAGAAAAAAATTGTCAATTGAAATGAAAATTACCTAGAGAAGACACTTCTTTCAATTGCGTGTAAAACATTAGATATAGTCCACTGTAAGGTGCGTCCCTCAGGAGAGTGGGCGCAAGTCCACTGGAAAGCCCCCGAACCCCTTCCTGTTTGTAAATCATTCTGAGGGCTTGACCCATGCTCTCATATCTGTAAACTCCACTCTCGAATCGTGTTTTCACGACTGTAATCGGAATTAACAGACACCCTGACATGGTTCTGGCAGTGATCCCTAAAGAGACAGCTTGGAGGGGTGTCAGGGGGTCTCGCAGGTCCATACTGTGCTTCAGGTAGTGGATGGAGGAGAAGTAGAGGCCGACTCCTGGGATCACCCTCGTGATGGACTGTAATTAACGGATAACGATATTAAATGGATGAAGTAATTGCGATTGGAGGCGCACAAACATGGGAAAAATAGATAAGTGTTATTGGGAAAATTTCAAACAGATTGTGACACTCACCGGGGTCATGCCCCTCCACAGCCCCAGGATGTTGTCCTTCTGGATTATGTGGATCATTGTGCTGAGCATTGGATGCTTCGGTGGACTAGAATGATAATTATATGGACATGTTATTCTGTTTGTTTCGGTCGGCGTTGACGTAATTAATGGCATTACTCTTCTTCAGATAATTGTTTTAGATTTTTCTTCAAATGAGAATAGATATTTATTCAAGGTATTTACATTTTCTCAACGTGTAAAGAATTGACTAGCAATTTTTAGAAGGGTAACATTAAACTCGATTCAGGAGAAAAAATTTAATGGAGATAAAAAAACCTCAATTTTATGAAATTTTCAGTGACAGAACTCCTTGAAATTTTAGTGGAACTATAATGTGGTATAAACTTCCAAAAAAATTAGCAATGTAATCGAGAAATAGGTCACAGCTTCTTTAGACGACTGATGAACTAAACGAAAGGTGAATGAAAAGTACTGAATAAAAAAGAGCTTACCGTACATGGTCGTGTGCCACTGGGCTCTGAAGTCTCGTTTTCACGAGGTCCAAGGGTTGAAATAAAATAGTTGAAAATGTTCCAGAGAAGGAGCCAGCGAGGAACGATTTCAATATCGGATACTGAAACAGAAATCCACAGAACCATAAGTGGATTATGAAATAATCTAACTAAATTAAACATTATGCAATATTTAATCATGTTGTTTTCAGGATGGAATACATGTGGAATATTCTTGACAAGTGAGTACATCGCGTGACTTATGGATTTTTATTCACTATCAAAACGAAGATAAATTCCAGCCATGTGTGCAGTATCTCGCTCGAGTTCCCTCACGTGAGTTCGAGTGATCAACCGAGAGGTCAACATAATTATATTTTTTTCAATAAAAAATCGATGGTGGGTTATCAACTGGGGCTGGGGTATTTTTACGGATTTATTGCCGAGGTCGAGGGGAAAGATTTATACGAAAAACGTGTCTCAACTTATCGAGTGTTATTTTTTGTTCTCTTGAACTCGGAGGTTCATTGTCGCTTTTCAGTACAATTATTCCACTCCAAGGAGTGATTGGGGCTATCAAAATTCCGTGAAGAGGGCAGAATGAATTATGCGAGATTGGAAAGTGATCGATGACTGAGATAACTCGTAATTCATTATAATTCAATCACAAAATTAATTATTAACATCAGGTTATAAATTCCTACAATGAAGATCGCGATGTGAATGGACGAGATGATTTGTAATTAATTCTCTTCAATTAATAAGGTTGCAATTAAAAAAATAAATATTCAATCTTAGATAATCAATTTTTCCAGAAGAAAAATTAAGGAAATTGCGTTCATGTCACATGAAAAAATTAGATTCTAATCAATTACTTCAAATGAAATGGTTAATTAATTTGTATTTACATTTGTTTAGTGTTCATCAAAGGAATGTCTGAAAATTGTATTAATTTTGGATTAAAGAATGCAGAATATCTGAATAATTAGAATCGCTTGTAATTAATTCTCATTAATTAACGAGGCTGTAACAACAAAAAAATATTCAACATAAGACAGTTAATTTTTTCAGAAAAAAATTGAAGACAATGACTGAAATTAATTCATATAAATTTCAGTCAATTCTAATCAATTAATCAACTGACTGGGCTTTGCACTCGTCGCATTCTCATAAAATGTGAATATCTGAAATACTTACTGCAGTCACAGTATCCATAGTAAATACCACTCTCTCTTCAAAAAACCAAGACGAAGCAGCAATATATCAGGTAAGCAGAATGAGAAGAAAAAATAAACGAAAAGACTCGCAACACAGTTCCTACCAAACTGAGTCCCATAAAACGGTCCCAGCTACTTACATCCTCGCTTATCTCTGTATCTTCACGATGCGGGTCAACCAAATGACCCTCCATATCAAAACATATTAGAGTCAAGTCCCAGGGTATCTGACGAAAACGTGAGTAAAACGTGACTTCGAACAAACGTGATGAATAATTTTCATCAGCTGCAGTGGCCTCTTATCGAACTTCTTCCCAGCTTTCTTTTGGACCGATTGTCTCCTCTCTCTAGTCGAAATAATCGTCATCACGTGCTCCTGCGACAAATATTATTCCCCCGAGTTATTGAAAAATGAAAAATGGAGCATTGAGACGTACGTTAACAACTTCCACAACAATTTCATCACCTCATGGCAGCAAAAACAAGATACACATGCAAAGGGGAAAAATACGTCAATGAAATAATGACTAAACGGAATAACAATGCCTGCATGAGGTGGCAATGAACCGGAATTGCGTTGTTGATGAAAAAATACTTGAAATCTCTCGCCTTTATCAGCTGGATAATCATCGGATTTTCCTCCAACCTCGTGCGTTATTATTTGTTGCAAAAATTGGGTCGAAATGATTGCAAATCCAATTGTTAGAGAAGCTCTTTTTTTATTCTGATCTAACGCGCCTTCCTATCGCGAATTGCGAAAAACCGTTGCGTTATTTTCCATTATTATTTGCCGGGGTTTTCATCATCCGTAATTTAACCCTTGTAAACTTTTCTCAAAATTTTATTTCAGGCTGGAATTACCTGACATCTGCGGTGAGTAAAGCAGGGGTGACGAGAATTTATTGAGCGTAGATAATATACAAATGCAATCATTTTCTTCATGGTCTTATCACTTATGAGTGGAATTCCTCGTTTATCCACCCGAGAGGGCCAGGCGTTGTGGGACGTGGAGACGAGTTCCGGGAGAAGCCGACACTCGGCCATTTTCCTCGTGACTACAGAAGGGAACGGTCGTTGCTCTTGTGAAACAAGAAGTAAGTAGCATTTTTTTAACATTTTCCATTGTTTTTCGTTGTTAAAAATCATTCCAGCGCATTCTTTGTGTTTCTAAACAGTCGTGAAGTCATAAAATTCAATTTTTTAGATGAAAAATACAGTAATTTGGGGCGATTTTGGGGATTGAGGTTAGCTTACCACGTGCCACGTTTTTTATTCCAAGTTTTATGCGTTTTAATAAGGATAAATAATGAAGAAATGCCTTCAAGACTAATTTATTAATTTTTTTAGAAGTTCGGTGCTTAGAAATTCATTCGTGGGGGATTATTTCGTTGGGAAATTGAAGGAAATGTGTTATGCCTACACCTAATGTGTGAATTGAAACATTGAACATTTTTCCTAGTCATTAGTAGTTATTAGTAGAGTGAATCCTTTTTACTTCTGCACAGTCTTGAATCCGTAAAATTCGATTTTTAATGTAAAAAATGGAGTACGTGCGTTGGACTCTAGGAAACGCATGTGCTCGTGCCACATGTTTTATTCCAACTTTCACGCATTTCAATTAAGATAAATAATGCGGGAATGTTCTTCACATGATTTATTAATCTTTCCAAGAGTTGAATTGTAAAAGATTGAACAAAATGTGTTCTCAGTCCATGTTTATAACAAGGAACGTGAGAATTGTATGTGAAATGAGCATTTATTCAACATTATTCGTAATCAAAAAGTATTAAAGTCCGATTTTAACGCAAAAATAGGAATGAACTACATCTGTGTAATCGAATTTCGTACGTGCAACCTTCTTCATTTCAATCTTGAAGTATTTGAGATGAGAAATACTGAAATAAACTATCGTCTGCACCATTACTAATGTGTTTTCCGCTTTAGAAAGTTGGGATTAATTCGTTCGAGTTTTTTTCCCCAATGAAACGAACAAAATGCGATCTCTATAGATGTTACAAGACAGAACTTTCGCTTTAGGTAACGATCTGCCATCATGGTAAACGGAAGGATCCCCACGGTCTTCTCGAAGACCTATGTCACCCCACGCAGACCCTACGAGAAGGCTCGTCTCGACCAGGAGTTGAAGATAATCGGCGAGTACGGTCTTCGTAACAAGCGTGAGGTATGGAGAGTGAAGTACACACTCGCCAAGATTCGTAAGGCCGCTCGAGAGCTCCTTACGTTGGAGGAGAAAGACCCAAAACGTCTTTTCGAAGGTAAAACCCCACAAAAATACATGTCCCCTAAATTTCGCAGTCCGAAATATTCAATGATGATTCATTATATTATGTATTCTGACACCTCTTGTCTGAATAAATTTGTTGACACTAAATAATCTGAAAATTTCAATGCCAATAATCATGGAAATTAATGTAACACTTTTATTTCGTGATTTTAATCCATTTTTTCGTCCTCTCGAATAGGTAATGCACTCCTGCGTCGTCTGGTGAGGATCGGAGTGTTAGACGAGGGTCGCATGAAGCTCGATTACGTCCTGGGTCTCAAGATCGAAGATTTCTTGGAGCGCAGGCTCCAGACACAGGTGTTCAAGCTTGGATTAGCCAAGTCCATTCACCACGCACGTGTCCTCATTCGTCAGAGACACATTCGGTTGGTTTTCGCTGTTATCTTTGGTAGATTAAGCCTTAGAAATTGGGCAAGAAACGTCTGAATATCTTCACAGATGATTTCTAATCTTTGAGGCAAGAGAAAATCCTGGATTAATCAATGGGAGAAGTCCATCATCTTCTCACTATTTCATGGCCAGGAAACATTCAACTGCATTCATATTTTTTCCACAGAGATTTGAATTCTCTGAGTTTTTGAATTCACTTTGAGAATAATTAACAGAACACATCAATTTTTTAACATTTAATCATATTCAACATATTAATCATTTTCAATCACTTCTGAGTGACTTGAATTGTTTGAGATACTGAATTAATTTTAAAAGTAATTCACAAGAGCTATTTAATTTGAATCATTTAATTAATTCCTGAATTAATTTTCAAATTGTTTAACTAAAATAGTAAACTTCAACCAATTTTAAAGACCTGATCTCTTCTCCAGATCCCAGAGTAACGTATCAGGCTGAAACGAACGGCAGGAAATGCCAATTGAGTTTCAAAAAGGCCACTGAAGTATCTGGTCCCCCATAACCAGTGCTTTACGCCTTGGATTTAATCCATTTCACGACGCTGATAACCTGATGTTATCAATCAGACCACTTGGGTGTCCTTGAAGGCACTCAACGTCTGAATCTGCAAGTGAATTTGCAGAATAAATACGAAATATTCGGTACAGTCTAGATATTCTAAAGAACAATACCATTAAATTTCAATTAATTACATTGCACAAAAAAAACCCAAAAAATACATATACTGGAGGAAATTGCGACTCGTTTAATGAGAGTACTTATCCAAGCCATTGCTTTTTCTCATAATTATTCTCTCTCCATTTCAGTGTTCGCAAACAGGTGGTTAACATCCCATCATTCATCGTACGTCTCGACTCCCAGAAGCACATCGACTTCTCCCTGAAGTCACCGTTCGGTGGTGGCCGTCCAGGTCGCGTAAAGAGGAAGAACCTCCGCAAGGGAACGAGTGGAGCAGCTGCTGAAGAAGAAGAAGATTAAACTGTAACTTCATAAAATCTTCACAAGAATATGAAAATAAAAATAAAAAATTGACAAATCCCTGAAGTTATTTCATTTCTTCCACGATTTTAAATAGTTAATATATAATATAGTTTAAATTGATTGGTAATTGGAAAGTTTTCCATTCGTTTGGTTGATTGAGGTTTATTAACTGTATGTGTTGTACAAAGGCGACATGACTAGTCATAAAACAGGAAAACAGAAACAAAAAAAAGGAATGGAGTTGCTATAAGTAAATTAAACGTAATAATTAACACACTGAAACACAAAAAAGCAAAATGCGACCTGATACCAATGCAAGTTACATCAGAAAACAGTGAAAAGCCATGAAGCATACAGTAGGAAGTGAAAATACTCATGAATGAAAAAGAATTTATCCCGAGGACTCGCAATAAACGAAAAGAAGTTGATACTTGGGAATGTACATCGACTTCTCCCTGAAGTCACCCTTCGGTGGTGGTCGACCAGGTCACGTAAAGAGGAAGAAGTGACTCAGCTTCCGCAGAAAATGATTAAACTATAACTTCACAAACTCTTCCCAAATGATAACAAAAAATTCAAAAATCCCTGAAGTCATTTCATTTTTCCCACGACTTTAAACGTTTAAATCCTCTATGCGTCTCAAGTGCCCACTCAACGCCGTATTTGCCTCGTAACTCTCAAAGAGCATCTTGTGAGCTACGAAGGCTCATCTTGAAGTTCATTTTTATGTTCTTTTCACTCGAAACACCGTAAGAAAAGCACTTTCCATCACCCCTGCAAAATTTACTTTTATTCTCCCCCCAACTTCCGCATTCTCACAACCTAGGACAAGCGCGTCACCCCCACACGTGGATGTTCTGTTTATTTATCCGATAATGCACTCGAACATTTCCTTTACAACTGACTAATTGAAATAAAACATTGAAGTAAAATTATCTAGGCCATTAGATTGAGGCCATTCTTAATTTGTATTTATAATTCATATGAATTCGATCAGTTCCAAAATTATTTGGGAATATTGATTATATCGTATTTAATTTTGCACAGATTAGAAATTAAAAGTAATAACTCCTTGAAATTCCACGATTTCCGAGCATTTTCATTGTCATAATGAAATTAAAGGCTCATCTTGAACTACAATTTTCATCTTTTTCACTCGAAACTGGGCCATTAGATTGATGCTATTCTTAATTTGTGTTTATAATTCATATGAATTCGGTCAGTTCCAAAATTATTTAAGAATATTGATTATATCGTATTTAATTTTGCACAGATTAGAAATTAAAAGTAATAACTCCTTGAAATTCCACGATTTCCGAGCACTTTCATTGTCATAATGAAATGAAAGGCTCATCTTGAACTACAATTTTCATCGTTTTTACTCGAAACTAGGCCATTAGATTGATGCTTCCAAAATTATTTAAGAATATTGATTATATCGTATTTAATTTTGCACAGATTAGAAATTAAAAGTAATAACTCCTTGAAATTCCACGATTTCCGAGCATTTTCATTGTCATAATGAAATTAAAGGCTCATCTTGAACTACAATTTTCATCGTTTTCACTCGAAACTAGGCCATTAGATTGATGCTATTCTTAATTTGTGTTTATAATTCATATGAATTCGGTCAGTTCCAAAATCATTTGAGAATATTGATTATATCGTATTTAATTTTGCACAGATTAGAAATTTAAAGTAATAATCTCACGATTTCCGAGCATTTTCATTGTCATAATGAAATGAAAGGCTCATCGTGAACTGCAATTTTCATCCTTTTGACTCGAAACGCCTTAAGAAAAAGACTTTCCGTCACTGCCACAAAATTTACTTTCATTCTCCCCCCGATTGCCGCATTCTCACTTGCCTAGGTCATTTCACCCCCACAAGTGGATGTCCTGTTTATTCAGTGATGATTGAAGATAACGGGTCTCTTTTACATCGTAAAATGGGCCATTCCAGAGTTTGGTAATAGTGCTGGCAACAGGAGAGATAAGGTAAACTTGAATATGTGCATTGCGGTACAACTGATGCTACAGTGCGGAAATGACCGACATTTACTTCAGTACGTGGTCTCTCCAAGTGGCCACATGTCTCTCCCGGTACGTGCCTTCTTATGAAACATCGAGGAGACTGAGAAAATGAGATCAAGTCGTGGTGCATATAGAGAGGGTGGAGAAAAGACTAAAGGCAAAAGCAGCATTTTCGTTGCTCGGCTTACGTTAGCAATTTGTATATTTATTTTTTTCGCCTACCTCTCATTTCATGCCTTTTTACTTTTATGATCATTTTTTCTCTCACTCCACGGATGCGGAACAGCAGAACCCGTTACACCACTATCGGTTAACTAGTATTTGTAACGGGTGGAGGAGTAAAAAATTCAATTACACTGGCTTCTCGTAATTCAAATGAAATTCGAAATTAAATTTAATCGAACAAACTTTTTTTTTTCACCTGAAAATTCTTTTTTAATTCAATGGAGCGGTGTAAACGTACGTTTCGGTGAGGAGTGTATATTTTTTCCGGATTCAATTAAAATATCGCCGCGTGGATTTACGTGTTTAATCTATTCTGAATCCCATGCTGTATCTCCGGGATTTATCTCAGGGCCAATATTGCGGTATCCGTAACCCTTGTCCAATGTTCACGTTTCAGTTCATCTTCTCCATTCTCAAAGACGCAGTGGAGGAATTTACATGCCAACCGGCTCGTCCTCGGGAAGGCCGTTTCAACAGTGCCAACTGGGAAGGCACCTCTGGATTCCCTTCCGCATCCATATTTCGTCTTACGTACGAAATACCCTTGTTGACATGGAGTCGCCTTGGCAAGTGGTATGCATTAAAGATGAGGTTGAAGGAGAAGAGAGGGAGCTCGTGGGAGTGAGTGCGGATGAGAACACTTGACCAAGTTTCAATGTCTTCAGGGTGATGAGACTGGTGACAGAAAAATAATTCAAAGACTGGGGTAGAGGAGCATTCTGAGAGCGGGAGTCATTATGTCGGCTGAATCCACACCTGTTTTTGAATTTCTTGTGTCACTGACAGCAACCAAATGAGTAATTTCTTGATTCAAGTGGATTTGACTTCAATCAAGTAATTCTTCTACTCGGTTCGAGGAGGAAGAATATGATACAATCCCTCTGAGTTTCTGCCGCATTTTAAGCGTAAAAAAAGATTGATTTAAGGTGGCCCCGGTCGCGTAGAGAGGACGAACCTCCGCAGGGGAACAAGTGAATCAGATGCTGAAGAAGAAAATTAAACTCTAATTTCACATACTCTTCCCATACGAAAAAATTGGAGAACAAAAAATGTTATCCAATCACTCCGAGTTTCTGAGTCATTTTAAGTGTAAAAAGGATTGTTTTATGACAATTGGTGTCAGGTAGAGAGTCTACTCGAATCAAGTGGTGTTGACTTGCATCAAGTACACTGTGAAAAACTTTTCGCTGAAATGTTTGGTAGAATTTTCGGAAATTTCTAACACATTTCAGTTCCACTGAAATTTCAAGGAATTCCGTCATTGAAAATTTACGATTCCATAGAAGAACGAATGAAAATTATAAATTTCAATTCAATTATTCACGGAAAATAGTAAAAACCAGGAAAATCACGGAAAAATATTCTTGAATTTTCAATTAATTGAAAATTCATCGTAATTCGGCACAGAATAGCCATAATTTCAGTGAAAATTCCGAATTTCATAGAAAAACGAATGAGAACTGTAAATTTCAATTCAATTATTCCCCGAAAGTAGTCAAAATCAAGCAAATCCCGGAAAAATATTCTTGAATTTTCAATTAATTGAAAATTCATCGTAGTTCGGCACACAATATCCATAATTTCACTGAAAATTCCGGATTTCATAGAAGAACGAATGAGAATTGTAAATTTGAATTCAATTATCCCCTGAAAATAGTAAAAATCAGGCAAATCCCGGAAAATCATTCTTGAATTTTTAATTCATTGAAAATTCTTCGTAATTCGATACAGAATATTCATAATTTTATTGAAAATCCAAATATGCCAAGGAATTCTCATCTCAATGCTGTTAAAAAATTTGCAACTTCGTTCAATTTGCAGCGAAATATGAAATTTCATGATTTTTTCAATGTCACTCGCCTGAGCATTACTAGTCGACTGTCCATGAAATTAATTTTTTGTTCTATCCGCGTTATTACAAAATCAAACAAAAATAACCGGACGATACGAACGAGTGCGGATAATAGGCGAGTCCTCGTCTGGCTGGTGTTGAGATTGTTTAGAAAGTCTAAGGAGTCGTGGAGCATTTAGCGTTCACCCACTCATACAACTACAGTCGCCAATATCAACTGCCAAACTGCGGCACACAGACAAAGGTTTGGCATTCACGATTTGGTTTACGTGCTCTCTGGTATTTCTCGAGGAAAAAGGGGTGCGCCAGTGTACGTGAATAAGTGTCAGCTTGTGTATACACTGGTGAAGCAGAGAAACGACTAGGCAAGTGGGAATACGGAGTAGAGAGACCGGGAGAATCGTGTACAGCCGTGTGGAAGCGTTGAGAAACGGCTGGCGAGTGAAAAGAGGCGTCCAGGTGTAGTTGTACCCGGGGTATAACCATTGAAATAGGATGCGCACAGGATGCGTAGATAGTAGAACGTACTACTGGCTTTGTATTCGGCGATATCTCGGGGAGCTCAAACCCCCTCGTAACAGGAGATTTTGTCGTTCTGGGGATTTCGAGGAAGTTTACCAGTCACGCATTCGCAGTCGTGAATCCGATAATCAATGAATATTGCAGTTGATGTATTGACAATTTCTGAACGCAAGAGTGGAGATACATCTCTATTAAACTAACTCGATGCAAAACGATTTCTTCATTTCATGTACGAAAAAATCTCAAGAAATTCTATTGGACGTGTGTCGAACTTTCTGTTAGT